TGTTACAATAATTTTCATCACAAATGTTATAATTGAGTGACAAAAAAATAGTCACAAATACAATTGTAATGGAAAATTTAGGCATTAATTATTAAAATTAATATTATCAAATCAAAAAGATATTTATATAATTACAACACAAATATTGTAACAAAAATTCTATTACAAAAAAATTGGTATATAAATTTATCATAAAAGTTTAATAAAAATTTTATTATTTCAATACTAATCAATTTTGATTAAAATTAATCAAACCCGATTAAAATTAATTAGCCCAAACTAAGCTCAAGTTTTATTGAGCTTCACATGTTTTATGGTGCTAAATTTGTTTTCTTAAATATTTTTCATCGATGTGGAACATATTTATAATGCAAAACCTTATTCTCTTATGTATTTTTACCAATGTGGGATGCATTGATTAAAAAAAACTTAAATAAGGTTGAATTATAGTGATGATTTTTCTCATCACAAGTATGTATTCTTTTTTGTGACAATTTTTAGTGATGAAATATATTTTTAGTGATGAATTATTTGGTCATCATTGAATGTGTAAGGTATATGCGATCAATATTCGAAATTTGTCTTAATTGGGATGAGTTATAGTGATGATTTTTATTGTTACAAACTTATTTTTTATTTGTGATCATTTTTCAATGATGAAATATCTTTTTAATGATGAATTTTTTTTTTATCATTATTGAATATACTTGCATTTGTGATTAATTTTTAAATTATATCATAAATGTAATGGGTTATAGTGTTGATTTCAACATTTGTCACAATTTTTTGTTACTAAAAATCTCATTTCTTATAGTGATTGTTAGTTTCTATAACAATAGGCTTTCTCCAAATGCATAATTGATCTTTATAAATAGTTCATTGGCAACTACAAATGTGTTTTTTACATCCAAATATGGATATTTTATATATTTATTAAAAACACAATACCACAAAAACCCATATGTTAAACTACATATGAAGATAAGTAATTGTTCATGAAAATTAAAGTTGATTCTTCACTCATTTATCCCATGATCATAAATTTCTTTATTAATAGTTAAAGTTAAGAACTTTGCAAATGAATAGAGTAATGAGTCTCAACTCTCTCAAGAAATTCAACCTAGAGATATTACAATATAAGTAGTGCGATATGTAAACTCGCATACCTTTATTTGTAATTGGCTAACTGCTTTAACAAAATCTTGAAATTAGATCTCCAAAATGTCTCATATCATATACCATATACATAATAATATTCACAAAGTGATTTCAAACCAAAATAAGAAAAGCAAGTCATATCAAAATTTATTTGTCACTAATCATCTTTAACCTCCAAATGGTATAAATATAATACATATATTGAAAACTAAATATTTACCCCACAGGTCCCATTGTCATAATAATATAATGTTGACGTCAAAACAAATTTGTATAGCTTTAGACAAAAGGATAAAATATCGATGGTTCTTATATTCCTAATTGTCTTTACGCACCGAATTTCCCTTCACATAGGAACTTGCTTCATATGATTTAGTCCTCACTTTGTAAGCATCCATAATTCCTATGCCATTAGTGTCTTTGACTTTAGAATATTTTGTAAACTTTAGAGACAAAGTTACATTAAAGAAAAACATTAATTATCCCTAATTATCAGAATCCGTTTCTTAACTTTTAATAATTAAGGTGATATTATGTACCCATTAGTGAGGGATCAAGACAAAAGAAAATTAAAATTTCATATAATAAATACAGAATTAAATATTTTAAAATGTTTAAAGAGACGAATAATAATAAATAAAATTATTCAACCTAAGCCAGCACTTTAGAGCTTAAGAGATGCCTAATATATATTTTAAATTTGTCTTTATATAAACTACTAATAAACCATATTTTTTGTTTTTAAATGATGTGGGATTAGATATTTCCTTATATCGAGTTCTAATAAGCTCTACTTTTTATTTCTAGGTGATGTGGGATTTATTAATTCTACAATTTCACTTACGTACTAATATAGAAGAATAGAAGACTTATCAAATTATAAAAAATAAAAAATAAAAAGAATAAAACCAAAGATAAGAAAAGAACTCATCAAGTTGAGTGCAAACATTGATTCTAAGTTATAATCACGTAAAAGTAAAAAAATAATATGTTAAACTATTGTATCCAAGTTATGGTTATCAAATCGAATGCAATTTCACTCATGAGGTTGCTTATGCAAGTATGCTATGGAGGAATACTGCTTTGTATATGATCATGTGGAAGGATGGTATTCGTGGCACAAGTATGTTGTTCGCTTGTATTCCTATATACCCTTAAGTAAGTAACATTTTGTAGAGTTAATAATTCTATAAAATAGAAGTATCATTTATACTCCAGCAACAAAATGTGTTGCTTTTCTTTTTCTTTTTCTTTTTTTTGAGTCCTTAAAAATGTGTAAAATTTTTGGGTTTGGTGTGAGGAATAACTAAATACTTCATGAAATAGGTAGCAATTAGGATATTCAAAAGAGTTGGAAGCTTTGATTTGCAATGGTTTTTGTGGTATTGGAGAAATAAAAAATTATTTGAGAATGAAGATGTAGCTAGGCCACATTTTTTCGAATTAATTCAGTCAAAAATCTATATTTTATAAAATTCTTTTTCACTAGATTGTGACAATTATTCTAGTCACAGACTTATTTATTATTTATTTTCTTTTAAGTTCAATATATATATAATGGATTAATTGTGGTAGAAAATTCATTACTTGTTTCTATTTTCTTTTATAACAAATCATATGTATTGTTAGTTGTTAAAAATTATAAATTTTATTATAAGTAAAATATAGTATCTATGACAAAAATTAATCATTTAATCATTTGTGACTAATATTTAATCAAGAACCACTAACTACTTTATTGTGACAATTTTAA